TAAGAAACTTCGGGTAGTAGAGATCTTGTAGGTCATTTAGCTCCGCCCACCGGCCGCTGGCCAGAGGTGAGTTCTTTTATACCTGTATAGGAGAGGGGGGGGGGGGTGCTCATATCGGGGCTGCAAATTGGGGGCCTCTGATGTTATCACCATCCCGGTTCCGTTCTTCAGATACGCAGAATCGTTCTTGTTCATTGGTTGCTTGAGGGGAATGTTATTTTCTTGGAGAGACAGAGAGAAATCTCTACTGAATTAGGTGTTGAAGATGTTTTCTTGTGTATGTGTGTTTCAGTGCGAACCCGGATCAGTTGCTGCTCCAAACCAGACAATTTGGAGGATGAACGCGAGTCTCCCAGCGATGCCATGGTTAGCACTGTTCTTTCAGTTGTCTCTGTTTCAAACCATACAATTCATTTAGGCAAAATACTGGAGACACTATCATTCATACTGTATTTGGCATGGTAGTGGACAGTTAGAACCTTACGGTCTTGCAACATCCTCAGAATAAATATTCTGCTCCAATCAGGTTCTATGTATATTCTGTTATCCACGGTTTATCTCAGAAACGAGGATTTCATATTACACAAGTGAAGAATCCTTGAGAAATGTTTATGGCAAATGTCAACCATAAGTCCGCACAAGACATAAGTGATCCCCAAATGGTGAACAGTGCCATTCTACAAAATAAAATGGCTGCAGAACAAAAAGGACCCTGAACAATTTCTGGAATTTTTGTGTTCCTTTATTTGTTACTCCTCTGCACTACATCAATTTTTCCAGGCTCGTTTTGCTTTCAAGTCTGATGCGCGTGTTTTTTCTCATATATATAGGAAGAAGAAAGTATTCGCTCCAGACGTAGATGTCTAGCTTGCCTGTGTGCTGTAACATTAATCAGTGCATCGGGCCCAAAGTTTTCTATCATTGGAACCTTGATGATTTATCTCATTTGAACATAATCTAACCCCTCTGATTTTTTTCAGTACATAATTGTACACCTTCTATGCCCCGCTTAATTGTGTGTTCATTTTGTTAATCAAGAAGCATCTGATTTTATGGCTGGGTATGTTGAAAATATATAAAACCTTTCTTCTTTTGGATAATTTGTTTCCCTTTGACCAATCTTTGTTACTTGCCTACACATCTGTGCATAGCGTGGTGCTCCAGCGCGATCGCTTCGTGTGCTGCCTCGAGTCGCATGGCCACCATGCCCGCGCCGAGGCGAAGGCCGCTGCCACTCTCAACGCCCTCTGCTGCGCGCTCTCGCCGGCGGCGTTTGCAAAGCCTTGTCGTGGCGCTGCAAGTGTTGCCCCCCTCCTCCCCAAGGGCAAGGTGAAGGAAGGTGCATGTGTGGTTCTTCAGCAGCTCGCAGCGAGGATTGCTGTGTCCAACCTGCAGAAGTATGCCAAGAAGTTCTCGGAGATGTAAGCCACGACACATTTTTCTGCCATGATTTCCTTCGGTTGGATTTCGTGGATTTAGGTGTTGAAAAATTATGGGTTGTGGATGCAGGATTAAGGACATGTCCCCACACTACAACGAGAGATCTGAGCTGTTTGGAAGTTAGTTTAGGTTTTTGTTGTGGATTCACAGCTTCTCACATGTATGATCCTCTTAGACCTTTAGATTTCCAAAGAAACTAAATGAAAATATGGTGGTATGATCTCAATAGTACAATTTAAAGCCTTTCATGTTTTATATTTTCTTTGAAATTTGCTCTTGAAGAATTATGTATCTATGTTAGATCCGGTGAGAAAAGGCGGCTTTCAAGTAGAGGTTGCTGCAGTGTTGGCCACATTTGGTTTTCGACTTAAGTGTCTAAATATTCTCACAATACTTGGCTCCCTTTCGGCCTTTGCGCCATTGGCGCAACGAGTCATCTAGTTATAGATAAAGCACAAACACTAGATTCTCTCTTTTATATTTGTTGTCGCTTTGATGCCAACATCACGATAAGGTATTATTCCAAGTCCTCGCTCCGTTGGTTTTACCATGGTTATGATGAGCCCCCAAAGGTGTCCGGTCGCCCATGTGGCCACATTCTCTAATTCTCAAAAAAAGAAGTGGCCGCATTCTCTCCAAAAGAGCAAGGAGCGAACATTCGAACCGTTCAAACAACCAGCAATTGCTAACTAGAGTCTCCCTAAAAATAAGGCCACCGACTAAACGCTGTGTTCAAAGTTAGCCACGAGACTCGTTCATCTCCAAGACTCCAACAACCTTGCCGCCCACTCATATCACGTACATGCACGCACGTACGTAGACAGGGGCCTCGACATGCCGCCCACCACCAACTCTTCTTCAACCTCTGACCCCCAAGATTAGCTAGCCTGCTAATCCGGCCTATAAGACTCCCCCTCCATTCCCCCATTCTTCCCCACGCAAGCATCAAGGGCACGAATAAGCAATCCCAGCTTTGCCAATAAGCCCTTGTGCTTCCTCATCTCCCTCTTTCGACTTTCTCAGGTCATGGAGATGAAGAAGATTGCCTGCGCCGTCCTCATCGCCGCATCGGCGACCGTTGCCCTCGCTGCCGATGGTCCGGCCCTTGCCCCGGCGGGAGCCCTGGCGGGAGCCCCGGCGGCGGGAGCCTCCGCAGCAACCGGCGCCTTCCCGGCCGTCGGCGCGGTGCTCGGCGCCTCCGTACTCTCCTTCTTGTCTTACTACATGCAGTAAGTAAGCGAAGGAAGATACGTGCACCTGGAGGAGGATGAAGAGGACAAATGCTGCTGGTGCTTCCTGTATTTCGTTAATTTGATGTGTGTCGGTTTTCGTTTTTGTGATACATGTATCTTTTATTTGGTTTGAAACTGGATTACTTGACCATATGTTGATTGATCCATTCATTTCATTAATGGAAATTTTCACTCTTCGTTCATTTGATTGCCTTTTCTTACCGTCGTGAATTGATCTCTAACTTTACTATGTATAAACGATGTGAGATTTTTTGTATGAGATTTTGGTTGTTCTACTGTATCACCCTTATTATCTTAAAACTTATAGGAACATTTTATAATTAATTAGAGCATAAAAGGAAGAAAAAAACATCTTCTTACAAGATCCTAGCAAAAGAGAGGATGCTTTATTAATATAAGGCCATTAGGATTACTTTTATTTATCATAACATGAAATTACTAAGATATATTTCATGCCATCCGTTGATGCATCCTCTGGTCATATAGCATGTGAATCACCCAACTCTTGGAACCGCAATCACCTTGGCGTTTGCATAGTCACCATTGGGCGTGGCAGCCACAAAGATCCTAACGCGATTGCAACAGTAGTCACCGGTAACAACGGCATCTTGGGGAACGTAAATCGCATCGGTGGAAGGCCTCTCTTTCTCAATCACATCTTTTGCCTCCTTGCCCTTCCTGCCCAACAACTCTGGCCAGATCAACTTGCCCGCTGTTGTGCATGCACAGTAACAATGAATGATTAATGTGGTTTAACCTATGGTTATATCAGACTAAAAAAATAAGCGATGGAATTATGCGAAAGTTGAAGCATGAACACGAGAACTCTTACGGCATTGGCCAGTGACAGGGGAGCTGCAGGTCCTTTCAACATGGTATGCCATGGTTGCTAAACTTTCTTCTGCTGTGTGGAGGATGACGGCCGGGTACAATTGTGTATTTATATGCAAAACTTGTAATTAAATGACTCGTTAATGCATTACAACTATTGTGTCATTCATCACAATAGAGCGAGGCAATTTCCGTTGGCCAGACACACTTACTAAATCAAATTAAGACAGTAAATATACATAATGGCTATAATGGTGTATTAAAATTGCCGAGGATTGAGGTGACTAAAAATAGGCTCGTGCGAGCTGATTTAGTATTGAATTATAAAATTACTTGTAATTGTTATTCATGAATTTGAAAATTAGTTAATTTTTAGTAGCATCAATCCTTGGTTATTATTTAACACGTTTTATGGCCAGGATCTATTTGTTTATTCTCTTGATTTGACTCGGTGCATTTGCATACCCTTCGGGCAATCATGGATCTCGCGCTCGCAATGTATCATCGTGGATTTGAAGCATACTCCGATGCAAGAAGAAGGGGGCAGGATTGAAGAAATTTTGTAGCCGAGCTTCTCGAAAACTTTGGATGTGTTATAGGGATAAATGAAAATGAATATTAAGGTTTATGGCGCATTATCGGCGTGATTTCCTTTTCTATACCTACTATTAAAGGGAATAGGTATTCTTGGTTTGGTTCAGTCCAACTATTAAAGGGAATATATATTCTTGGTTTGGTTCAGTCCTTTTCATTTCGATGGGTCTTTTATGGGCTTCATAGAGTCCGCAAAAAATAATTAGGTCAAAATAAATTAACATTGTGGGAATTTAAACATGACCTCCTATCTGGATCTTCGATGCAACAACCTATGCGTCATTCACATTTACTAAATTCCAACTCGCTCTAAGTATATGAGTGGCAGTCCTCATGTTTAAGCAAATGAGCTAATTAAAGAAAGGATTGTGGACTTAAATAAAATATTTAAACGGATGTGGCTAATTAAAAAAGGATTATGGGTAAACCGGTGGAATAACTAAAAGAAAGATTGTGGTTTTAATAAATAGAATTTTTAAATAGATGAGGCTAATTAAAGGAAGGACTTGAGGTAAAAAGGTAGGATAGTTAAAAGGAAGGATCTGTATGCTTCAATGTGTTGGGGATATAAAATTAGAAAAGGAAGGATTTGATTCCCGACTAAAACGGGTGAGGACGTCACGGTAACTAAAGGAAGGATTATACTTAGATGGAATCAGTGGGAGATTATGCCTAACAAAGAAAATATGAACACGGCTAAATTGCATCGTATTTTTTATGTTCATTCTGTAGAAAGAGCGTTGCAACATTTTTTTATAATGAATCCGGTGCCGTGGGACATTATACTTGCACAAAACATCAATTTTTCCCATTGCAACGCACGGGCATATGTGCTAGTTGTCTCTTATTTACTTAAAAATTACCATTTCCTATTTTGCACCCACGTTTATGGCCAGGATTTGTTTACTTATTCTCTTGATCCTTTTTGTTTTGTTTTTGCGAATGGTTTTTTCTCTTGATCTGACTCAGTGTGTTTGCATACCCTTCCGTAGTTTTTTTTAGAAAAGGAGCATACCCTTCCGTAGTGTGGCTCAAACTAGATATTTGTGTCTGTCATGAGAGTCTGGTACACAATGTCGGGCAGCGACAACGATTATGAGAGTAAGCATGTGCCAGTGGCCGGGATCGATGATCGTCGATGGTGGGCATGGCCCGCCTTGCTTGATGATCTCAACTAGCACCATGGGCTTCAAGCATACTCCGATGCGAGAAGAATATAGTAAAATCGAAGAGTGTTGTAGCCTAGTTTCTTAGAACTTGTAGGGGCCAGAAAAATATATTGAAGATCATGACGCTCATTATCAAAATGATTTCCTGTTAGTTCTCTCAGAATTTTCATTGCTTAACCAATTTCTAACTCACGGTAACCTCTGTCAATTCTCCACTTGATTTTTGAGTAAAACAATGCAAAGTTCCGTTTGAGTAGGCCAATGCAAAAGGAGTTGCCACAAAAAGCACATGCCATTTATTTATCTATCTATCTACTACCCCTATAAAAGCATAAAGCGCGGAGATTCAAATATATTCTGTCCGCTCATACAACAAATCCTATAGTTCAAAATCATCCAATCTTTAGTGCTAAAATTGCAATTAGTGCTAATGCAATTGCCTACCCACGTCGACTCGTAAGAAAACCGCCCCTACGCCCGGCCCTCACGAACACGGCGCCCCGCTCTCGCTTGTACGCCCCGCGCCAGGCCACCGACCCTCGTCGGGCCTCCTCGCCTCCCTTCCCGCCCCCTCGTCGGACATCCCCACTGCTCCAATGCCGTCCTACCTGCAGTGGCACACATAAAAAATTCCCAATCGAACCATTCGGATTTCCCCATTCGAGCGCCCTCCGCGGAGCTCGGCCTCCCAAACCAGGTCGCCGCCGCCACCGCCATCGAGCACCTCCCAAGATCGGTCTAACCAAAACGACACAGACAGACGCGCCCTCGCAGGAAGGAGGCGAGTGTTAGGTTGATCTTCTCCCGTGTGGACCCAACGGACCACCGGGCCCTTAGATCCGCGCCCTGATCGAGGGCGCCCAACCCACAATGGTTGATGGGCACCTATCACCTACGCAATATAAAGAGGTGGGGGCCGGCGGCACACAACACGAGGTTCGTCGCGCAGCCGCACACCCCACCGACACACCTACTGATCTAGGTTCCGCGCAGTGCTGACGGGAAGCTCCGCCACCACTACCCACTCTGCCATCACCGCCGTCGCCATCCACCATGGCCACCTCGGCAGGTTCATCGACTCAAAGTGAAGGTAGGACTACCGGGAGTCTCTAGCCTACTCTGATCTACAACTCCATCAATGGTTTCGGAGCCATGCTAGGCTAAGATCTTCGGTAGAAAAGAAAAACGATGAAAGAAAGATCCCCCCAAGAACCCTAACCCTAACAGAGAAAGATGGGAACAAAAAAAGGGCAAAGTAATCTCGCAGAAAAGGGCGCCGACGCACCGGCCGCGCCGTTCCTCTCGATCCTGACTCGCATCGGCATGCCAAGGTTTTGGGAAGAAGAACTCTACCCTGACCGGGGCAAAGGGCACCGCGGCCAAACCGTTCGATGGCGACGCGCTCACGGCAAGGCGCCGGCGAAGGGGATGGCAATGGCGCCTGATGGGGACATGTACCTAGGGTAGGGTCATGGACCTGATCTAAGTACCTTACCCAAGGACGCCCTTAGAAGTGGTCGCCTTCCAGTCGACCAACGAAGGACTCACTCGACTGACTGAAGGACTCGACCACGAAGAATCACTCGACCACCAGGAGGTCAAGAGGCACTCTGCACTGCAACGGCCTGTAATTAAGTAGGCTTTATGATAGTAAAGACACTTTATGTAGGGCGTTACCAGTAACGCCCCAGACTTAACTCACCTTAAACCCTCTCCTACGTGGGCTGGCCGGGGTCCTGGCGCACTCTATATAAGCCACCCCCCTCCACAGACAGAAGGGTTCGGCATCTTGTAACTCATATACTCATAATCCACTCGACCGCCTCCGGGCTCCGAGACATAGGGCTATTACTTCCTCCGAGAAGGGCCTGAACTCGTACATCCTTTGTGTTTACAACCTCTCCATAGCTAGGACCTTGCCTCTCCATACCTACCCCCCACTCTACTGTCAGGCTTAGAACCACGACAGTTGGCGCCCACCTTGGGGCAGGTGTTTTAGCGATTTTTGTGGAGAAGTTGCGATTCTTCCGAGTACTTTCATCATGGTGTCTGCTGGAGTGTTGGTCGAGGGTCGAGAGATCCGTCTCGGCGCTTTCACCTTCATCGCCGACGACTCCGCCTGGCTCCAGGAGGCTCCACTCGACGTTGATGCGCTCCCCGTCCGCGGTGCGACGCATTTTCGCGCATGTGTCCGCGGCGTTCTGCTGCGGCAACCGTCGACCCCGTATCAGACGACTCCTCCATCGTCCACCCTCCCGGTCTCCCGCCAGCGCAAGCGCTCGGGCCGGTCGAGGCTTCAGCGATGGGTGAGGCACGCGGTGGCTCGCCAATCGGCCACCACCCAAGTTGCGGCAATCGAGCCCGACGAATCTCTTTACGGCTTGTTCGATCTGTCGACTGACTCCGTAGAGACTGCATCCGAGTGCGGTAGCAGTGATCCAGCGGCGGAAATCTTGATGGTCGACGGGCCCCGCAGTCCCCCTGGCTTCGCCCGTGATGATGGAGCAGGTGACGGAGGCGACCCCGCACGACGCCACGAAGAGTACCAGCCCGAGCCACTCGACTCTTTGCAAAGAGAGGAACTTCGCCGCAGGAATGTGGATGCCCTGCGTACCCCCATCGCAGGAGAAACCCCCGAGGCTCGTGCCTTGGAGGAGGCGCGTCTGGCCAATTTGGCCAAGCGCGCTCGACTGGAGAACCTTCAGCGAGCACTCGACGAGCGCGCGTGGCAACGAGTTCTCGACACCAGTCGACGTCAACTCTTCCCGCCGACTCAGGTATATCGAACCCCAATCCAGAATTTAGCAGCTGCGACCCGTATAGCAGAGTCCATCCAGCCTTCGCAGTCGGAAGCTGGCAGAGGTCTGCTGCAGATTAGGGATCTGCTCCGGGCAGCAGGAGATCAGAATTCAGCTGTGTCTCAGTCGCGCAACAGAATTCAGCTGTGAATACGGTTCAGTCGGCTCACAGCCCCAGATCGCCTCCGCGGCGTGAAGGGCGCGAGAATCGGCAAGATCAGTATGGCGACCGACTCGACCGAGATGACAGGCGTCGAGTGCCCTATTCCCCTCCGAGGGGTGGGTCTTACGCTCCTCGACAGCAAGATGACAGGCGTCAGTACAGTACAGGGCGAAGGGTTCCAGTCGACCCCAGAGAACCAGGCTTCGACGCGCGATCCATTATCGTACAAGGTTTGGTCGACCGGAACAGAGCCCATCGAGGCGGACCCGACAGAGATGCACCCACAAGCAGTCGAGTGCATGTTTCTGGTCCTGAATGTTTCAGCAGAG